CCGTAGAATTTTATAAAAGGCTCTCTAAAGAAGAGATGTTTGAGAAGAAAAAAATTCATCTTTCCCAAATGCAAGAAGAATGTCCAAATAATCATTACAACGAAAGTATCCTTGTATAGTGACTGAAATTGCAAGATAAAAAGGGAAAAGAAATTCCATTTTTCAGAGTTATTACAAAAAAGCTCAATTAATAATAGATTACTTGCCATTATACTGAAGAAACGATTTATTTAACCAAATAAATATTCACTTGAATAAACATGATTGCCACAGGTCAGAAAATTCAGGGAAAAGACAAGAAAAGTAGAATTGGTCAGGGAAATCAGGAAAAAGTCAGGGAATTTTATTAAAAGTACTGGAAAAAATTAAGTGTTTAGAATTCATAGGAAAATTTTGAATTTTGGTGTATTTTTTGTTTGACTCATAAACTATATGAAATTACCACGAATTCTAAAACAAAACCTTCAATTTTTTGGATTTTTCTATTTCTGACAATAATTTTTTCTTTTTAAATAACGTAATTCTTAAAGTACTATCATAAAATTATTACTCATAAATTATTTAATAAAGTAATTTTTTTGAAAGATTTTAATTTAAATTCTGTTGAAATTAGTTGGATTTTTAAATATGTATTTAATATTATTTTAAAAATTTTTAACGCAATTCTTCGAAAAAATTCAATTTTCCTGATAAATATCAAATTCTTCCTAGAAATTCAATTATTTTCAGAAATTTTAATAAAATTCATTGCAAAAATCACTTATTATCATAAATAACAATATTCACCACAAGAATTCAATTATTTTCAAAAATTAAAAAAAAATTATCGTAAAGATTTCAATTATCTTTATAAATAGCAAAATTCTTCGCCGAAATTCAATAGTTTTCAAAATTTAAATAAAATTCATGGCAAAATTCATTTATTTTCATAAATAACAATATTCACCACAAGAATTCAATTATTTTCAAAAGTTATAAAATTCTTCACAATAATTTAATTATTTTAAAAAATAACAAAAAATTTATTGTCAAGATTTCAATTATCTTTATAAATTTTTAAGAAAATTCTTGACAAAATTCAATTATTTAAAAAAAATTTCCTAAGTTCAATGACTTTGAATGTCTACTATTTTAATAAAATTTCTCAAAAAATTCAATTATTTAAAAAAAAATGTTATAAAATACTATAAAAACATTTAATTATTTTCTAAAATAATAAAAATTACACAGGAATTCAATTATTTAAAATAGAACTTAGAGAAATTTTTTCGAAAAAAATCAATTGTTTGTAATCTTTTTATAAAATTTTTAGCAATAATTAAAATATTTTCATAAATAATAAAATTCTTCACAGACATTCAATTATTTTAAAAAATTAAAAAAAAAATATCGTCAACTTTTTAATAAAATTCATGTCGAAATTTCAATTATTTTCAAAAATTTTTCATAATTCAATGATTCCAAAAGATTCAATGATTCCAAAAGATTCAATGATTCCAAAAAGAATTCAATTATTTAAAAAAAATTAAATAAAATACTGCACAAACAATTAATTATTTTCTAAAATTAAAAAAATTTCACAGGAATTGAATTATTTAAAATAGAATTTGCAAAAATTTTGTCGAAAAAATCAATTGTTTAAACATTGTAAAATTCTTCCCATTAAATCATTGATTTTCATAAATATTAAAATTCTTTTCAGAAATATAATTATTTTCATAAATAATAAAACTCATCACAGAATTTCAATTATTTTTAATACAATTCTAATTGAATTTCTCAAAAGAATTCAATTATTCTTATAAAATTCTATTAAAATCGTCGAAAAAATTCTATTTGAAATTTTGTTGATAAAATTCTTTATACGAATTCAATTTTAAGGAATATTCAATTGTTCAATAAATTATTTACTTTTTTATTTAAATAATTGAATTCTTCGTAGAATTTTTTGATAAAAATTGATTTAAAAATTAATTTCAGTTGAAGTTTTAGAAAATAATTGAATTTTTGAGAAGTTACAAATAATTGAAATTTTTCGAAATAATTGAATTTTGAAAAGGTTTCAAATTAAAATCTTTGGAAATTTGAATTTTTCATACTTTTAATTAAAAAAATCTGTTGAACTAATTTTTTTTTTTTTTGAAACTATTTCAAGTTTTTATTTTCTAATTTATATTCAATTGAAAAATTTCCGAATAATCGAAATTCCGAACTAAAATGGAATTATAAACAAATGATTTTATTAATTCTCAAAGGAACTTTGTCAAAAATTATTAAAAATAATTGATTCAAAGAAGGATTTTAGTTAAAAATTGGAGACAATAATAATAATTGAATTGAAATTATGAAATTATGAAACCAATTTTTATAAATCATTGAATTTCAAAAGGTTTTACTTTGAAATTTTTGAAAATGTCAATTCCTATGGAAAAATAATAATTATTAAATATTTATTTAAAGAACAAGTTATTGATGTTTTTGAATTATTTTACAATTAAAGAAGTTCGCAAATAAAAGTATTAGAACATTTTTTTGTGTATCTTATCATTTTTGTAGTGTGGCAGAATATTTTTAGACTCAAGGAAAAAGAATCAGGGAAAATCAGGGAAAAAGGAAAAATTTTGTTTGAATTTTTCCTTCAGGGAAAAGGAATCAGGGAAAATCAGGGAAAAAGGAAAAATTTTGTTTGAATTTTTCCTTCAGGGAAAAAGAATCAGGGAAAATCAGGGAAAAAGGAAAAATTTTGTTTGAATTTTTCCTTCAGGGAAAAAGAATCAGGGAAAAAGAAAATTAAATTTTTGTGGCAACCCTGATGAAAAAAATATTTAATTAAATCAATCAAATGGTATATGAAACAAACTGGCTTTTATCACTAATTAAATTTTAAATCATGATTGGTAGAATCTAGTAATAAAAATAAGGGAACAAAATAAAAAAGGAAAAATTGAAAGATAGTAAATTAAGAATATAAAGTCGAAGGAAGAAAATAAAATGAAGATTAAATGAAGAAAATTTGCAAAGGGGATTCATTGATTTAAATACTTAATGATCTTGAGGATGTTATAGGCTCTGGATGACATTGTCTGAGGTTTTCTAAGAATACGCTATTCCAGTCACGCCAAGGTGGAAACGAGAGCAAACGACTTCAGGTGATTCTCAAGTTCCGAGATAAGCAAGAAGCACTCTTACTTAGGACGAGTAAGTAAGTAGTGAAGAGTGCCATCAGACACAAGACAACGTCCGACTCCTCTGCCCATAAACGGCTGGCACGTGCTCTCTTGTTCTCTCCCTTCGCATATATATATACACACTACTTACGATTATACCAAGTATGTCTCCCTATACACGAGAATCACCAAAGCCAAAGGTGAAGAAACAAAATTACTTCCACAAATCAAAAAAAAAAAAAAAAAGAAACAAAGAAACAAGATTCAGAATTTTTTTGCTTCAAGACAAATTTTTGCACTAAGAGAAAAATTTTATTTAAACCAAATATATTTTGAATTAAATAATAAAATTAAAATAATTAACAGAATTTTTAATAAAAAAAATGAAAAATTCAGAATTCCATGGATTTTAATTTGAAACCTTTTCAAAATTCAATTATTTCCAAATATCCACACTATAATGCTTCTAATATTCAATTATTCAATTATTAATTATTATCTAAAATTTTAACTAAATTAAATTAAATATTGAATTTTTATAAAGAATTTTATCAACAAATTTTTAAATAATTGAATTTTTTTCGATGAATTTTAATAGAATTTTTCAGAATAATTTAATTTTTTTGAGGAATTCAATTAAAATTGTATTAAATATAACTAAAATTCTGTGATGAGTTTTATTATTTATAAAAATAATTAAATTCCTGAAAAGAATTTTAATATTTATGAAAATAATTGATTTAATGTGAAGAATTTTACAAACAATGTTTAAACAATAAAATTGATTTTCATAGAAAAAATTTATGCAAATTCTATTTTAAATAATTGAATTTCTGTGAAATTTTTATTATTTTAGAAAATAATTAAATGTTTGTGTAGTATTTTATTATTTTTTTTTTTTAAATAATTGAATTCTTTTGGGAAATTTTATTATAATAGTACCTAGACATTCAAAATCATTGAATTTAGGAAAGTTTTTGAAAATAATTGAATTTTGTCATGAATTTTCTTAAAAATTTATAAAGATAATTGACAATCTTGACAATAATTTTTTTTAATTTTTGAAAATAACTTCATTTCTGAGAAGAATTTTATTACTTTTAAGAATAATTGAATTGTTGTGAAGAATACTATTATTTATGAAAATAATTGTATTTTGCAATGAATTTTATTAAAATTCCTGAAAGTAATATTGAATTTCCAGGAAGAATTTTGATATTTATCAGGAAAATTTAATTCTTTCGAAGAATTGCGTTAAAATTTTTTAATTAATATTAAATACATATTAAAAAATTCAACAGAATTTAATTTTTTAATTCTTTTGCGGAATTCAATTAAAATTGTATAAATAGGTAAGTAATTGAATTTTTTTTAAAATTAAAAATAATTGAAATTCTTTGATGAGTTTTATTATTTATGAAAATAATTAAATCAGTGAAAAGAATTTTAATATTTATGAAAATAATGGATTTACTGCGAAGAATTTTCTTAAAAAAAATTTAATTGTAAATGAAAATTGCGAAAAGGAAAATTTTTCCCGCTTTGAAAATTGAGAATGGAAATGTAAATTATAAAAAAGACAGTAGAATATTGATAACTGTTAATTATTTTTTATAATAGTATTGACAATTATTTTTTTCGAATTTTTACTAGACAGAATTTTAATACAGTCAGCTCTCGATAATTAGAATCTTGATGAATTATAAATTGAATATCATATAATTTATTATAATTATATTTTAATTAACATAATTTGTTATAATTATAATTTAATTATTTATTTGGCAATTTTACTAACTAAAAATTGGTCAAATTGGCAATTGTCTCTAAATTTGATAATATTTGGTAATATTTTTATATTTATTTATTTGGCAATAATACATTATAATAATTTATTAAATTATTACAATGTATTGTAAACATAATTTAAATAATAGAAAGTAAATAAATACTCGATTGAAATTTGATTCGTGTTCCTAGAAAAATTTCGACTCTCAAAAGATTTGATAAACAAAAATCTGGATAATTTAAAAAAAGTTTTTCGTCCCTTAAGATTCTGTTTATCGGGGGTCGACTGTAGGATGAAAACTAAAAATTATCTTGAAGGTGAAATAAAAGGAGAAAAAATTGTTTCCAAAAGAAAAAAACATGTAAAGATTTTTTCGTTGGATTTTTTTTCATCGCTGACAAAGGTTTTCAATTTTTTTTCCCGAGATGTGGAAATTAATTGAAATTGAACCTAAAAGCCTGGAGTACAAGTTCTACTTTGAGTGCCGCATCTTAAGAAAATACAGCACTCTCTATTTTCTCTACACTGAAAAAAGAAATAATTTTATTTAACTTATTATTAATTTAATTGTTTAAATTTTAATTTTTAAAAATTATTTGCTTATTTTTTCTATTAATTTTATTTTATTTTAAAAATTATTTTGTTTTTAAAGAAAACGAGGGCGATCATTCTTTGGAGTAAATTATTCTTTTCCTAAATAATTTTATAATAAAATGAAATTAATTTAAGTTTGTAAAATTTAATTAATCTAAGTTAATGAAATGAAATTAATTTAAGTCTATAGAATTAAATTCAGTTAATAAAATTAGTAAAATTAAAATTTGAAAAATGTTGGAAAAAATGCTTTGAACGTTTGAAATTTTAGGAACATAATTGTTGAGCAAAATTATAATTTCAAAAAAAAAAAATACTTACACTTTGTCCCCATGAACGACAACCATCTTGAGTACAACGATCATTAGTGCATGTCAAACCTTGACAACAAGCTCTATTTCGGCACTGAAAGAGAATTGTTAAATATTACTCTTTTTTTGCAAATTATTTTCTTTGTGTAATGAAATTTTAATTACCTAAAAATTAATTAAATTAGATTCAAAGTAATTTTCGAAATTAATTTTTTTTTTTTTGACTTACATCTTCTCCATTACGTTGACAATTTCCAGTGTCTCTTCGTTCGCATCTTTCCCTAGTGCATTGAAGATTTTGACAGCATTCTCTATCATTGCGACACTAGAAGTGGAAAAAAGTGTTTAAATTAATTAAAAATTGTTTATTATGCACTTTATTAATTATTAATAATTAATAGTAATACAAATTTATTGTTAATAATTTAATTTATTAACTTTATTATTATTATTACTGTTATTTTTACTATTATTTTTAATAATAACATTTTATAATTATTATTAAAACACTTGCTGACAAAATTAAATTTTCAGTCACTTCTCTAGGAAAGTGTTTAATAAATTCAACTGAATTTTGAGGATTTGTCTAAAATATGATAAAAAATGGCAATGATGTTCAAAAATGTTAATATTTCTTTAGTTAATTAATTAATTAATAAAAAAAATAATTACTCCTTGTCCTTCTCGAACACAGTCAGTATCTCCTCTTTCACATCGTTCCCTATTGCATCGTAAACTCTGACAGCATTCCCCATCATTGCGACACTGGAAATTAAAAAATGAAATTTAAACTTGAACAGAAAATTACGTACCTAAAGTTCTAACTTCTGAAAAATTTAAACAATTATAATTTTTCAATGACTGTAATTAATTAATATTAAATTACGACAGATACTTCTTTTTTATGGCAAATATTACATGAGCTAAAATTTAGAGAAAGTGTCTAAAATATGATGAGAAGGTAATAAGTGAGAGAAGGTACCATTTTGACACAAAAAAAATTTTTTTTTTAAAAAAAAAAAATTTTTTTATAAAAAAAAAATTTTTTTTTATAAAAAAAAATTTTTTTTTTTTTAAAGAAAAATTTTTTTTTGTATAAGAAATTTTTCCTGGAATTTTTTTTACTTTTTCTATATTGTCTAAAAAAATTTTCTAACTTATTTTTTAAATAATTGAAATGAGCTCTTTGAACTTTACAAATTTCCACTGAGAAATTAATATATTTGAATCAAATATAATTATCTTTGTTTTACATTCAACCAAAAATTATGTTTGAATTAAACATATAATTTTGATTCAATTTATATAATAATTTTATAATTCTTATTTTATAAATAGGGAAGTAAGAGGGAAATAATGCACTTTTTTTATTTAATATTTTATTTTGACACAAATCGAATAGGTCAGAACATAAAAAAACTGCCATGCTTCGCCCCCATTTTTATTGCTTCGATTAATTTACAATATAATTTTTTTGAAAAATTTACTGAAGAGAAGATCTTTTTTTCGAAATGTAGGAGTAAATTTTTTAAAAAAGCAAATGACGGAATGTTTTTATTCTACTTTAACATTCCGAATTCCCAAGTAAAAATTTCTGTCAAATGCCAGTATTCACAACAGGTGCAGTATTACGCCAGTATTGGCGAGCCAGCATGCAGTTGGCCTACATGTGCTGTTTTAATACTGGCTTCAGTCAAATTTCTGTCCAACGCCAGTAATGCACTTTAAGACTGGTATGTCAGTACTATGCCAGTACAGAATCAGTATATTGTGAAGACAACACTGACAAACCAGCACTGGAGCAGTCTTGGTACAATTTTTAACGCCAGTACTGCAGAAATATTTATGTAGAAGTAAAAAACAGGCTTATTTCACTATTTAATTTAATTTTAAGGAACACAATGTTCGACACAATTACGGCACTGTTAATTGAAACGAGTCTAGGCAACAAGTGTCGCGTCTGCTTGCAAATCCGGCGATTGACACCCTCGAGGCCCTTCGGCCGTTTCCGGGTTCAATCCGCATCAGACGCGGCGGCAATCGTACGAGGTCAGAATTGACATTTCCGCCCGAGTTGCACACGATATTTTTTGTCTAAATGCGCGATAAACGCGCATACTTAAAAATTGACTCCGTTTTAATTTGAAGTAATAGAAAGTGTTAATATAATAATTAGTAGTATTTATTTAATACTGCTAAAGCAGCGGGCGAAAAAGTAGTTTTTCCGCCCGCTGTTGGTAGTCGGGCAGCAAAAGCTTACTTTCCGCCCGCTATGCATGCACGGAAAGTCGAGTTTGTCGCGCTTGTAGGACAAAAAATTACTTTTATATCTCTAAATTGAGTTATTTTTTATTAGGGCAGAGTGGGGCAAACCGGACTCCCTAACGGTTTTTTTTACTCTTGTGACTAAACGAATCAATCGATTTCATTTTTTGATGGTTTGTTTGAAAGATCATTTAATTGCGCAACTTTTTCCCAGAGAAAATGTTGGTTAGATGTTTAGTTGCTGTGTTAACTTAAAAAATTTTTTCAAAAGGTCCGGTTTGCCCCACCCCCTGGGGTAAACCGGATCGTTTGGTTTTTTGTTTATAATATTGCATTTACATAATCTACAATAATAAAAAAACATAAAGAATCATGTAAATAATGGTTGTAGTAATGAAAATAATAATACGGGATTAAATTTTAATTAAATAAATAATTTTTTTAATAAAAAAATAAAAATGTTTGTCATTATCAGATAATAGTATATTGTGTGGCAAGGGCGGAAAGTTGTCAATTCCTGACCGAGTTCGAAATTTGCCGCACGAGCGAAGCGAGGGCGGCAATCGTACGAGGTCAGAATTGACATTTCCACCCGAGTTGCACACGATATTTTTTGTCCAAATGCACGATAAACAAGACGCATCCGTAAATTCAAAAATGAATATGCACTAATTATTATATTAAATGTGTATGAAACATTTTTATTAAGCCTAAGGCGAGTTCGAATATTTTTGATAAATTTAACAATAAAATTTTACTTAAAAATTGACTCCGTTTTGATTTGAAGTAATAGAAAGTGATAATATAATAATTAGTAGTATTTATTTAATACTGCTAAAGCAGCGGGCGGAAAAGTAGTTTTTCCGCCCGCTAAGGCCATGGAGGCGGGCGGAAAAGTGGTTTTTCCGCCCGCTGTTGGTAAGCGGGCGGAAAAGTAGTTTTTCCGCCCGCTGTTGGTAGTCGGGCGGCAAAAGCTTACTTTCCGCCCGCTATGCATGCACGGAAAGTCGAGTTTATCGCGCATGTAGGACAAAAATGATATTAAAGAGTCCAATTCTCATTGGAAGACAATTATTTTTCATTGTAAGTAAATATTTTAATGAAAGCAATATTTTATTTAAAAATAATTTTTATGAAACTTTAATTCAATGGAAATATCCTTTGGCCGGTTTGCCCCACCGAAAACGGTCCGGTTTGCCCCACAGGCCCATTTTGAGAATAAATGTGGACGTCCGCATGAAAAGGGACCACTTTGGCACTATTGGACTTATCTATATGGGCGAATTCCTGACAAAATTTGGAAAATTTTGAGTTGTCTTACAACCTTTTTGGTGAAAAATTCTATGAGTTACAGAGTTTTAAAGATTGGAGTATCAAATACGTCATTTCGAGAAAAACGAAATCAAAGATTGTAATATGAATATCTTTGGTTCTTCTGGGAAGTTATTCAGATAAGAGTTGATTTAAGTACACCCTTGAGATTAAAAATCAATAGGTTTGGGATTCCTCCCCTCTCATTTTTTAACAATGACAAAATAATGGATCTCCGACAAAGTGGTCCTTTTTCTAAAAATACGGTTATTAATTAATAAAGTGGAATATTTAACGAATTTAAAGATTTGGAGTTATTTTTTAGAGTTATTTCAAGCAAAGAAAAGAAAAGTAGCCTAAAAATTTTTTTAAGCGACTTTATTATAAAAAATCTTTGAAAAAATAAAAAATTTCATTTCCAAAAACACGAAATTAAAAATTGTAATGCGAATTTCTCCGGCTCTTTTGGGAAGTTATTCAGATAAAAGTTGTTTTAAGTCTAGTACACCCTTAAGATTGAAAATAAATAGGGTTCGAATTTCTCCCCCCCCCCCTTATTTTTTAACAATGTCAAAATAATGGATTTCCTACAAAGTGGTCCCTTTTCATTTTTTTTCTACCAACAAAAGAAAATACTTAGAGTGTCAATAAATTAATGAAAACTGCAATGAATCGACGTGTTAGACCCTGTAGATTAAGAAAAAAGGATAAAAAAAATTCGATATTTTTCTTCAAAATTAGTAAATTGCGAATATCTCGGAATCTAGAACCGACAAAGTGGTTCCTTTTCATGCGGACGTCCACAAATGTTTGTCAAAAAGAAACGCTTTGCAAAATCATCAAAGTTTTTGGTGGTAAATACCCAGGTAGAAATTTCAACTCTATAATGACCAGTCACTGGGAAGTTTTTCTAGATTCTGGCTAGTAATTGACCAGAAAATGTGGCAAGTGATTAATTGGAAACGTAACGCGCTGCTTTATCAGTCACTGGTTAGATTATCTGGCCAGTGACTAGCAAGTAAGTGGACAGTGTTCTGCTTAAAATCTAGAATAAAATATAATTTTTCCTGGCTCTTTTTATTTTGTTTATAATTACATATTTATTTATATTTTTGTGATTATTCAAATATTTAAGACTAATGAACATTTTTTCTACCAATAACACTTCAATCTAAGAATGAAAAATTCGCAAACATGGGGGATCGAACCCTAGACCCTGGAAACACAACGCATGTGCATTACCACGCAGCCACGGTGACTAGATAGTAACTTATCATAACTACAAGTTTAAGAACTGAAGTTCTATTCCGATTGTGACCAGAATTTCTGGCCAGTGACTTGTCAGAAGTAAAGATCAGAAATCATGACCGATAAACTGTTTAGTCACTTGTCAGCGACTTGACGGCTTATCTTGTCAAAATTTAGAGAAATGTAAACTTTGGTAATGAGAAAGTGAAACGATCATAACTTTTATATAAAGTTACTTTAGACTTTTCTGTTTTTGACCGCATGGAACATAAAAATTATTTTTAATATCTAATTATAAATGATTGACTAAGAGTGTAATTTTATGGGACTGGTGCTTTGTTTTTTCCTTAGTAACTGGTCAGTTTCTGTGTCCGCAGCTTCTTTTTTTAATAGTGTCAAGATGTTCTGGCTAGAGATTTGGAAAAATCTAGAATAATTCCTTTAATAGAAATCGACAAGTTTTTCTGATCAGTGGTGGACCAGTTTTTCTAGGTGGAATCTTAAATAATTCTTCAAATCAGTGTTCAGTTCTTATCAGTTCTTATCAAAATTCTTATCACTAATGTGATCAGATTTTTTGGACAGTGACTTGACAAAAGTACTGTTCACAAAGGGGAATTGTTTTTATCCAGTAAAACTGGCCAGTCACTCATTCAGGACTGGCCAGATTGTCTTGGCAAGTAAAACTCGCTCTCGACTCTACAGATACTGGAAGAAAACAAGTAATACTTGACGAATTTCTACCTGGGGATTCCTGAGGTGTGTACCTTCAAAATCTAAGACCTAATATTTGGAAACATTACAACTTTTGTAATGTAAACATTACATTAATGTTTGTAAACAATTTTACAACTTTTGCTTCCTTCGTCGCACAAACGCAAGCTAAAACTGGCAAATTAAAAAAATAAGGTATACTAAACATGGTTGTTTAAAATTTGTAA